GAGTAGAATGAACAGAGCATTAAATGGCAAGAAGCAGTCCGTTCAGAACAGTGCTACATTGGTTTTGGCTTTATCTTTAAAATTGGTGGCACATCAGATGTTTTAAAATGACTGGCACTAATAAGAGCAATTGTCTAAAGATGTCAAAGATATTTTGCTTTGAGCCCAAACCCATGTATGCTCTAGACTGGAGTGGATTCTCTGGTGTCTTTCCTGTCAGTTGGTTAAAACCCGATTTAACAAAAAAGAGACATTTACAGGAAATAGATATATATAACCTATATTTCATATGCATGCACTTGGCAGATGACAAAAGCAAAAAATTCTTGTGTTTACCAGAGAAGGTAGGGTTTAATGTGTATTCTGTGCTCATTTAATGAATTTGCATAAATACCATCTTTAATCTTGGGAACTTAAAGTTTTTACAAATATGGGTAAATATTATTATCCCTATAACATTGGTACAGATCAGGTCCCACAGAGTCTGTATTCTCCCCATCCACAAGCAAGAAGGAAACAGAACAGGAAGGGAATCCTTGGCAACAAGGAACTGTTTATGCACTTTTTGAATAAAGTTGTTTCTCCAGAATTTATCAAAAATCAGGAAAACGCTACTGTTAATTCTTGTAGAATCCCATTTTTGGCAGGTTCTGGGCTGGACTTGGCTTATACTGAACTTCCTGGAATTTCAGTTTGTTTAAACTTGACCAGTAAAAAAGGCAGCCTACAAATAAACCACTGGCTTGTGAATATGCTAGGCTCTGCCCTTCCTACTGCAAAATTAGTGGCTGTGCCATCAGCTGCTAGCAGCTGAATTGTAACACAAGAGAGAAAAAAGCAAGGTATCATTTATCTTTAAGGCTACTGTGCAAGTATTATGGAATTTTATGCATGTTCCTGTCTAGTCTGGAGTTTTCTGAAGCATACTGATAACTAGTAAGATAAGAGAGATAATGACACCTAAAAGAAGGTAAGATGGACACCTTTTCTTGGTTGTTGTTGTTTTGTTATTTTTTTTTTGCCCTTTGTGGCTATTACTCTCCCTAAAATGTGCTGGGCTCGATTAACTCCCGAGCCCTCGGTAGTGGAAAATCAGCTTAAAGCCAGCCAGTGACAGAAAGCAACCTCAGGCCCCTTCTGTGTAGCAGACCAGCTGGTGCGGTCAGAACGCAGGCAGAGTCCATAGCCTAGTGTCGTGGGGCACTTCCGTGCCCCGCTCCTAAGGAGGCTCAACCCCGGGAGGGGGAGATGTGTAGCAGGACACTAGGGTGCCTGCTACTAGCATTGGTAATAGGGCTTGGCTGCCAATCAGCAGGGCAGCACAGCTGAAGGTTGCTTAGGCAACAGATTGGGTCAGCTGACCGCCAGGGGGCAGGGCCTGGCCTTTATAAACAGAGAAGGCTGAGGCCAGAGGTAGTCCCCCTCTGGCAGCTGGAAGAGCAGGAGGCTCTGCTGTAGGGCAGAGCAGCCC